GGCTGTCCTAGGAACTTAATACCTAAATTCCACTTCACACTTTGCCACATACCTTACACACGACCTTGACAATCAACTATTTTCTCTGACTCAGTATTACAGTGATAAAACACAGTATTAAAGGTTGGGGGGGGGGGGTTGATTGAGGTTTTACTTCAAAAATATCCATCAATTACACATAGAAGACGTCTGTGCCCTGCTTCCTAGGAGCAAGGAAGGCTCAGAATTGAAATGGTTAAGAGCTGGAAACTGGAAGGCTCCTGGGAGAAGGCTGAATATTCCTGTTCCCTGCATGCAAAGTCCAACAAGATGGTCTGCCTATTTCTTATCACTTAGCCCTGGGAAGCAAAAAGATGCCCTGGGAGAAGAACAAATCAGAGCAGTAATATTAGATGGAATGAGAACAAACTGGTAATTCCTTCTCCCTCTGGTCACAGCAGATGATAGGAGCCTTCCGAGTTGCCTGAAGTAGATTTTAAGAGTGATTAAGAATCAGAGACAGTTTTTATCTGGTTGACAAGCCCGTTGTCATTCAGGATGGTGTTGGACGGATTGAGGGACAGTGGGTCAGAGGCAAGTATATTTTTTTTTGTCAACGATGGTTTTTTGAAGTCAAATGCTCACACAAATCAATATTACCTCTAGCACTGCAATTAGAGGAAAGAAGGCAGAGAGGAAAAAAAAGAGGATGCTTTTCCCAAAAGACTACAACTATTTCAATGCAGCATCACTAATTAAAAAACAAATCAGTTTTCATTAATAGATTTATTTTTAGGAATGCAAACAAGAAATGCAGGAATGACAAATGCAAGCCTGAGCTCCACTTGTTCCACCAGTAATAGTAGTTACAGAAAACAGACTCAACTATAAAATAAATGCACCCAAACATAAAGATTAATTTACTTGCATTACTGGGAATATAGTAATATGGAGTAAAAGATACTGTCAAAATAAAGATGCTATTTCAAAGGTTAAAAGAAGTTAAGATCAGTCACATTTTAACAGGACATGCTGAAATGCACCAAAAAATACTTTAAAATGAAACTATGAATTTACAAAGCAAGAACCATTTATGGGCAGCTGCAAAGAAAGGCTCAGAAGAACCAAGAAGATAAGGCAAAAGGCTGGTGGAGATGACCCTGTACCAGACAGAAAGGAACACAAATCAGAATGAAATCATCATAAAAAAAAAATCACTGGCAGGGTTAGGTAGCTGCTGTGACCCATTTGAGTTCCTGATGTAGGAAGCAATCCAGATGTTTCAACTGAGAGTCCAAGAAGTACAAACTGTCTCTAAAGGCAGCAAGAGCTGTAGGAAGCCAGCCAGGAGTACAGATCTCAGTAGCCTGGGTCAGGAGGAACAGCATAGGGAGGGTCAGGAGCAAGTCTTGAACCTCAGTTTGCTACAGCATGTCTTGCAGCTTGGCAAGTGCCACACGGCGTACACCTAGAAATCACCTCGTAGCTCCAACTGTGTACAAGGCTGCAGCAGTAGCTTCCAACTGAAACATAATCAGATGTGGCACCATGTATTTAAGATTTATTACTTGTCTTCAATTCTGGAAAAACAGACGTCTCCAAAACTAGAAAAGAGAAGCTCAGGCTCTGCCTACTCAACAGGGACTTACTAACTGATTACCTTTTCTCGCCTGATCTCTAACCACAATACTGTACACAATATATAATGCATAGTTATAAATAAAAGATAGATATGCAGGCCTGTTAGTTACCAAAGACGTATACAACTGCGCATTTGGAGCTAGCAGTGATTGGAGAATCTATGGATTGAAACAACTGCTTTCTGCCAATTTCCCTCCTAGCTGATAAAGGTGTTGCAGGTACCTAACCATATTTGTGTCACCAGGATACTTGGTTTAACATTCTCAGGGACAGGTATTTAAAAAAAACTTTAGACAGTAACACCTCATCCTCACACAGAAATTCTTTGAAGGGTTTAAAACCTGATGTTATTAGCAAGACTTAGGCCTCCACACATGCATTACAAAATTCTGAAATCATTATGTGTGAATACATACATTGCACTAAAACTGCTAAACCTAATACTTTAGGAAGCAGTATTTTTTGTTTGCTTAAACATACTGTCCCAAGACTCCTACAACTGCCAATTGAGACATTCTTCTTTATACTTCCACATGCTTATGATATTCTGTTTAGTCTTTATTTAAAATACTTAAGTGACAGCAAATAGCCTATTTGAAATTACAAAGAAAGGCAATGTCAAACACAACAGCCAAGGGGACAGCAATATGTGTGTCCACCAAAGTAATTTGGATTTTGTTCTATTTATGATTCTTCATCTAAAAGTAAGCCTGAGGGAACAAGCACTGTCTTTAGCTTGTAAATATGGAGAAAATTCAGAAATATAATTAGGCTGAAGATGTCCTATAGAAACCAAAACACAATTAAATAATGGCTTTGCTTCTGTGTTCCTATAAAGCAGTGTTTTACAGGAACTACGGCATAATATTCTTTGGAAAAAGAAAGATAAGTGATTATGTGGGTTTGTATTTATAATAATTGGCAACAAGCCAGAAAGGAATATCCATCAGTAGGCAATACTTTTCTCAAGAACAAAATCAAAATGTAGGGGGCCTTTTGTCATACTGGAGCATCAATGGCTTAATCCCACAGGTTAGCGCAGAGAGCCAAGACTAATTTATTGCTACTGGAATGTAATTGCTCAATTGGAAGATTTTTTAAATGGATTTAGGGATCACATAACCAGCAATTCTGAACAAACACTGTCTAAAAGTCTGACTAAAAGTGAAATTCCTGAAGGACCTCTAGCAAGGAGCTGGCAGGGAGAGAAGGCTAATTAGCATGGCTCAGCTCAACCCTTAAAAATCAGCTGTGGCTCCAGACAGACAACTCTGTCCAGAAGCTAAAACCAAAATAGGTGGCAAAGTCTCAGAACTACAATTACATAACTTGGCAAACTGAATACAGCACAACAAAGCATTAAGATATTACGTAGTAACTATCTCATCTCCTCTGTAGGAAGTTTCATCTGCTCCAACTTCCCAAAGTTTTTTCTCTTTTTTCCCAGTTTCCTTTCTATTACTAATCCATCTGGACTTTAGAAAAATTGAACTAGCAGTACTTCAGGATTCTACACTTGGTACTCAAAGAATTTTTTTTAATGCACCCATAAGCTTCAGAAGTGTTGCTGAACACTGCTGTTAGATGTGATAGCCACAGAATACATGCAGCAAAATTCACAAGGGAAATGCTGCTGCTGCAGTTCCCTCTGCAGCTCCTGTTTTAAGAGACAGGTATCTCAGCATTTGTAGAAGTGACACATTAGCAAGCCCAATTATCTGCATATGCCTGTCCTCAAAGACAAGCTCACCGGGGCCTGATACAATCAAGAAAAAGTACAGTTATGTGAATTATGATGTCTTTGGGGAACAACTACAGCCACAACGACTACTACATATTGGATCCTGAGCTATACAGCACTTCAGCCTTGGAGTAGTCTTAAAAATCTGAAGCAGCACAACGAACTTTCAAAGCCAGTCTTAGCTTCTCCCAAACCTCAGACAGCTGAACGTAAAAGCATCCACACAGGGAAATGAAACACAAACCCATTGTTTTAACAAGCACATTCAGCACATGAAACTCCGCTTAGGAAACTGCACAGTGCAGAAAGCTCAAAAGTTTTAGTGGTTGAAAAGCAGGTCCCACCTCACCCACCTTCAGCCATCTCAAAGTGCCGCACCCACAGAGGCACTGGGAAGTGGCACTGGGAGCAGACCCATGGGCTTTCCCTGTCCACGCTAGCAAAATGTCTGAGGGACAGTCGTACACTACAAGGATGCTATCTTGCAGCACACAGATCATGTATTGTTAAAAATTTACTTATTTATTTTAGTTTGTCCAAATACATGTAGTATGTAAGAATTTTCCTTTTTTCTTTTTTAGATGGCAGCTGTTCTCATCTGACTTCCTATGATGCAGATGCCATTTTTCAGTTAAGGAACACAGAAAATCAATCAATCTATATTATAAATATAGTTGATGTACAACAATGACCAGCTATTGCAAAAAAAAAAAAATTCTTTCCTCTTTTTTAAAGATTTTATTTTCTTAACCCAAACAGGCCTTCTGAGTTTTCCAGGAGCGAGAGAGGGTTCTTTTTCCATGAACTTCTCAATTTCAAGAAACTAAATACTGGAATAAAGCTCTCAGTATGACAAGTGAAGATTTAAACACTTCCAAAGTCGAGCAACAATGGGACTGATGTCAAAGTGCAAGACAAGTGTAACAAATATCATCTGGGTGATCTATACACACACGACACATTCTGCATGTCTGATTGGCTTCCATTTAATGCTAAAATCATTTGGCTGACTTCCCAGAAAGTAACAGGATCAAGTCTCTACCAATCTATCTTTCTGTTAAATCCTGCTAATAAACTCCCTTCTTCCTGCGTGACGATTCTCCGTATCTACCTTAGAAGGAAAAAAAATTTTAAGTGAGATCAGCTACGAAAATGCTTCATCAAAATAAGTGAGCAAAAAGATTAGGGAAGATTTTATATACTCATGTAAAAAAGCAGTATATTCAGCTAATATAATTCATTAGTTCCCTCAAACTAAGTGAGCCTACAGTGACGTACCTCACTGAAGATCAAGCACTGACAGCCTAAAGCAAGTTTACTCAGGGGTCTTAGGGTACTATTGTCTTGTCTTAAGAGCAAATGTTTGAATGGAGGGGAGGGGTTGCCAACACTCTAACAGGATTTACTCATATATTCTGTCTCTGAATCGATTCTACAGACCTCACAAGTTCTTTTGTGGGAATGTTCAAATACTTGCATTTTTAATAATTTTTAAGAAAAAAATATTTTAAAATATAGTTCATATGCCTACCATTTTCCCTTTAGCTAATAATCAGTTTCCATGAAACAATTGACATGGCATTTTACATGAAGTTACCGTTACTGCATTTGCCTTGAATGTGTGCTCTTTTTGACTCACCTTCACATTTTCTGGATGAAGCCCTCCAGGGTGTTTGTCCATGTACTGACATAAATCAGTGTGCTAAAAGAAAGTCAGATGGAAAAAAGTATATTAATATCTGTATGACTGCAGCAATAAATATCCTTCTACTTTGGAGTGGACAGAACAAATGGAAAATAAAGAGATTTTTCAGCCACACGTGCACACACACACTTGTATCTTTACACTCCATTCTATTTAACAACCTTGGTAACTTGATCAATACAAGTATTCACCAAATTTAATTATTTTTTTTTTCCTAACATCCTGTATATGGTAGATTAATTACTTGAATTTTAGTATCATTTTACACCTTGTAAAACACTATCACCATCAACACCATCAAGGTAATAACTGGAGGGAAGGGGAAGAACCTAAAGGGAGAACCTCAAATGCTACTCTCATTATTCACATTAAAACAGTGCGTTTTCAATATAATTTTATGGTGATTCCAGATTAAGATGGCTTAATGGTTTCAGAAATAAATCCAAAAGGCATTACATATCAGAGTGCTGAATGATACTTTCCAGCTCAATAAGAAGCACATAATTATGCACATGTACAGCTATTAATTACAGCTACTTTAGAAAACAGCTTCACTGAAGACCCAAAACTTTTAAGTGTTCACTTCATAGTTGTGTGTATTCCCTGCAAATATACCATAAAATCTCTTCAGAAAATAAGCAGGCTTGCGATGTACAGATTAATGTTATTTTTCATTAATAAGCATTTATCGCTTTTACTATGGAAACACTATTTTCTCTGAATTTTTCTCTTGCATTTCTTCACTTTGCTACCAGTCAGCAGCACACTTGCAGTGAAGTTGCACGTTGCTTCTCTGATTTGCTTGCACAACTCAGCTTCTGGAATTATGTTCCGAATAAACAAAGCAAAAATATGCACTAGATTAACAGCCAAAAGCTTGGAGACTGACTCTGCCTCCCACATCTGGTTTCTGAACAACATCTGGTAAAAATCATCCAGCATTCCTTGAACAGCTACTAGGCAATACCAGGCAGTTTTCAAGGTGAGAGATTTGGACAAGAGCTGCCTTCGATATAGCAGAATGGTTTCTCTGTGCAGCATTTCTGCGTCCAGGAGCCATTCTCCAGTGCTCTTTTGCAGAGTTATATGGATACATAGGAAAGTTTCCATCTTCTAAGACAGAAAATTCACGCTAGCCACAACTGTTCTCTATAATCTTCTCTTCTCAAGTCATAAACTATGAAAACACACTGCGCACATAGAATTAACATTGTAATGATGTAAGATGCACTGGTTGATTAGGTTGTGCACTAGCACACCTTTTTTCAGGAATTCTTACACAGCTTCAAGAGAGTGAGAGCCCTGACTGCAAGAAATCGCTCCAGTCCCAAAATGAACAATGTGCATAGCGCAAAGGCATAGGGCACGCTTCAGCAGGGAAACCACACTAAACACAACACAACAGAGCTTCTTCCAAAACAGAAGCTGCAGCAAGCAATACTTCATTTATAGTTAATACTTTAGTGCATGCATTTATGAAGAAAATTAAAAAATACACCTCTAACAGTGAATAGTTACTGTCAGTGAAGTGAATTTTGCATAAAGTCTATGTGTAGTTTAAAGACTTATTCCTAGTTTCTGTCAAATCTTTAGCCACTTAAGGTACATATTCCTCTTCTATTCTCCCAGGTAGTTTTCTAGGACTGTATCAACAAGCCATGCCAAAAATGGACTGGTCATCCTTCAGTACACAGCACCACATTACCCAGTTCCGTCTCGTTCTACTGTATCAACACCAAGGAAACACACTTGAACAAAGTCATCTGCTAACCTTGCCACTGGTTTGGAAAAACAGTTTTTGAGTAATAACCCCAGCACAAGAGTCTGCCTCCGGTAAAATATCAGCTGAAATACCATTGCTACAGGTGATGGCTCGTGTCAAATACAAAGTTTGGGGGATTCCCCTCATTTTAATGGGTTAGCTGTTATTGAAGAGAAGTACCAGCCTGGTGGAATAACATGTTTTCTTCTTTAACTTAAATACAAATCTTTGAATAGTGATAGCACCTGCAGTGCCTGGGAGAAGTTTAAAGAAAAGCCTGAAATTTTGCTTTAGAAAGCCCGTCAGGGCGAACAGGGCAGTGGTGTCCCACGCTCAGACGCACAGCCATGGCCCCCGAGCATGGCACTCTCCCTCGCA